TAAAACGATGTTCACAAAACCACATCCAAAAGTATTTGGCTTGTGTAGGAACCAAAAATCCAATATAAGCCTCCGAAAAGTTTGACAAATTAATATACAAGAAAATTTTCATTTAGTATGTTTTTATAAGACAAATGTCCTTGGGTGTATTCTCACGTAAGCCGATGTTTCAGCTTCGGCTTACCTTTGACACCCTTACATTTACTTGCCCTATAGTTTATTGACTTTATAAGGGATTCAGTGTTCATTAATTTACGATTTGATATAATAATAAGTATCGTTATTATACATAGAGAGACTTATTAAGAATCTATCTGCACTACTATTATAAAGAGGAAATGTTTGAATTTTTGTATGTTTGTAACGAATAAACTACAAAATTACTGGATCGTATGAGATGAAGTTTGATAAGAAGATAGTTTTAGATCCCTGGGAAGGACATAGAATATTTTTTATTTCGTAAATCATACCTTAAGGGGGTGAAAATAGGGATGAAAGGTTGTATGGAGAAACAACCTAGGGACAAACCCTAGTGAAGTGAGGGTGAGTCGTAAGTATATTGTAAATAGGCAAAGGCAAAACAGTTCAAAAAAATTTTGTCCTCTGTTTGTTAACCGATTTTTTTTATTTAGTTGTTATTGACAAGATTTAGTGTTATTAATAGAAAAAAAAAGATTATGGTGGGACTTCGAACATTGCTCGAATATTAGTCTATTTAATTAATTAAACGCTATGACTGACTAACAAACTGCTGGTTCTAAAATCGTGAAACTTTGCACAACAGCTATTGTGTAGCAAAAGTGAGCCGTAAGGAATTGTTTTTGAAAATTCATCCCTTAAAGTGGTATAATAGGGGATGCTAATTTGTATAGAAGTAAAGAATACGTTATTTTAGAAGATAGAAATTTAGAACTTGATTTTTTTTGCTTTAGAAAAATCTTTTATTCTAAGTTCCACGCTTCCAGACTCTGTAGTTTTTAGTATAGGTTTTAGATCAGTCATTTAGTCAGTTAGTTTTATTAAGTAACTAGCGACTGACACGCTCCGCTCGTATTCGTCCCTAGTTACGTTTTAACGTTTATTATAGATTTCTCAGAGATGAGATATTTTCCCGCAGTAAAAAGTATATATTGACCCGGATAACCAGCTATCATCATACCAAAATTTCAAGAAAATCTGTCTGTGGTTTTTTCGTAATGCGTTCCTAGACAGACAGACAAACAGACAAAAAAAAATTCAAAAAACTATAGATCTAGCCTCTGTATCGATAATAATGACTATTTTAATAAGATTTTCCAAAAAATATTTCGACTCAGAATTTTATTATATGTATAGATTATTGAAAATCTGTATGTCGGGTATAAATACTCCTTTTACACCTGGACAAAACCAGGTTGCTGTTCAAACATACAACCTGTCACATTCAGAAAAATTAGCCCATATCTGCGAAATAGAAGCAATTTTCGACTTATTTACCTTGTAATAAGGTTTATTATAATATTTCACATTCTTGTTAGTGAATTTTGAGCTTCACTGATTATCGACACTTCTAAATATACATCCCTTTCATCATTTTAATGATTTTCCTATATTTCTTACTAACTTTTGCACGCGACTCGTCTCGTTTAGTTTTGTATAGAAGTATCATGATGTTGTTAATATCATATTTAATCCCTCAACGACTGCGGACACGCCGGTGTTACAGTTAACAATAGATTTCTTAGAAATTTAATTAATTTCTTAGAAATTTTGACGACACGTTTGGCTCAGTTGGTAGTGACCATACTTGCTATGCCAGTGGTCGCGGGTTCGAGTCCCGCTGGGGTCATTCAGTTGTGTGACGAGCACGAATGTTTGTACTCCAGTCATGGGTGTTAATATTAATAATATGTATGTATTTAAAGTTATATATGTGTAGTGTATCAACTATCTGGTATACATAACACAAACCTCGTAGCTTACCATGGAACTAGATGGCGCTGTGTGTTAATGTACCAACATTTATTTATTTATTTTATTTTATTTACCTGGAGGTGTAAACGCAATGGAATTATAATATAGATGAAAACTAATAAGTCAGTATTTTTTTTTAAATCTATTAATAAATTACTGACAAATTAATATACATAAATTCCGGTCCTTCAGGTCGTGTGACGTCACAACATTGTACTTACAGCGCCGCTTTAAAGTTTCATAACTTTTTCATTTGTTGTGATATTTTAATAATTATCTCATATTTCTATACTAATATTATAAAGATAACAATTTTTTTTGTTTGTTTGTACTGAATAGGTTCCGAAACTACTGAACCAATTTAGATGAAATATGGTAAGAAGAAATTTTGACATCTTGGAAACGACATAGGATAGGTTTTATCTCGAAAATCATCCTTTAAGAGGGGAAAATGAGGATACAAGTTTGTATGGGGAAGCAACCTGGGCACGAATCCGAGTGAGGGTGAGTCGCTAGCTTGTTATATTTTACTTAAGTTTTTATAATAAATACATTAAAAAAAATCGATCGAATATTTTTCCATGCTATTTTCCGATTATAAAAAAGGAGTGGTTACGCTAAGCATTACCGATCTGTATTCAAATGTACAAGGATGGTAAGTTCACGCTGTAACTTTGGATATATTCAATCAAATAAAATATATATATCCTGCTATTTTAATTCAAGTTATTACATTTATTTTATTATTGAAAATTTGAAAATAATATATTTATAAATAAATAGATATGTTGGGACATTAACACACAGCACCATCTAGTACCATGGTAAGCTACGAGGGTCGTGTTATGGATACCAGATAGTTGATACACTACACATATATAACTTTAAATACAATACATATTATAAATATAAACACCCGTGACTAGAGTACAAACATTCTTTGCTCATCACACAAATGAATGCCCCCCAGCGGGACTCGAACCCACGACCGCTGGCACACCAAGTAGTAGCACTACAAATAGCCAAATGTGTCGTCAAAGCAAGCAAGTGTGTGTGTGTGTTTCGCAATCCGTTCTAAAGTGACTTGAACTCAACTACACAAATATTGTCTAGAATTAAAGGTGCATTTTTATTAATAATTATCCAATAGAAGGATATAACAGCTCGTATGTAAGTTGGGATGAGGTTCAACCGTAGCCTATAATCGATCCCAGGATACAATCTACGTTCTTGCCAAATTTTATCAAAATCTGTTCAGCATTTTAAGCATGAAAAGGACAGGTTACTTTCACATATACCTAATATTAGTATGGATATAGATTGGAGCAAAACAAAGTTGATGCCTCTTTATAATAATTATTTTAATTAAAGTATCGCGTATCTTAATTTACCGTAATCATATTTTTAATGACACATAATGACTATGTCTTCTTTTATTTCAATTATATTGTGGACTAACGACTTACTCGCTAGACGTCCCTTATACTGTTAGACTGATTTTGATGGGACTTTCACTGGCAGATAGGTGATGTTATAAGGAGTAACATAGGTTACTTTTATTTTAGAAAAAGAATTAGGGTTTCGGCCAAAAAAAAACTGGAGTTGCACTAGAGCAAAGCGCGGGGAAGTCGCTACAAAACTATAAGTACTCGTATCTTTAATGAAGATCACGTCGATTGGTCGCCACGTTGGTGTGTAACAGAAGGACTAATCAATAAAACTCCTAAATTAACAATTATTTCATTTGGATATTGATTAAATATGTTAATAAATGTTTCGGGTGAATATTTGTGTGAAGCACAAATATGCTTGATTCATCCCTTTTAACTTCCCACTATTGGGGTGGGCCTGCTCTAAATATGAGGGGAATCAAGCCTTAATCCCCCAAAGCCAATTGCAGATTGGTGGGTTTTAAGTTATCTTTTGGAAACTAGCTAAGTTCCCTCAGACATGAAGGTTTCTTAACAATATTTTCCTTCCCCGTATTAGCAAGTGGTAATCATTTTTAAAAATATTGTGTTATTCTTTCTTTTGAAGTCGGGTAATGTATGTATGTATTCAACCCTTTTTAACGTCCCACTGCGGGGCACGGGCCTCCCTTCAATACGAGGGGCCGGCCAAGTGCGGGTTGGTGGACTTCACATGTCTTTCGAAAACTTGCTAAGTTCTCTCAGACATGCAGGTTTCCTCACCATGTTTTCCTTTACCGTTAAGACAAGTGGTAATCATGTTGGAAATGATACGAACATGAAAATATCAGAAGTGCGAGACCCGGGATTTGAACCCGCTTCACTCGGTTTCCCAAGCGAGCGCGTTGCCACTGGGCTACCACTGCCTTAATTAAGTCGGGTAATACGCAGGTAATAAAGGTATCTGAAAAACTTAAAAGCATATATTGAATTTTGGTCGGCTCGTCTCAGCAGAACTGCATTCGGTAGCTTCCTCACGGACCGACTACATCGACACTTTTTAAATTAAATTTTCAAAAGTGCTTGTAAAAGTCTATTTGAACAAATTTTGAGTCATTTAGAACTGTCCAAAAATGTCTTAGTTCACGGTTTACGTTACATCGAACTGTCATAAGTATTTCTCTGGCTTCGCTCGGGTATGTTATAAGTGAGTGCTTAAAAGTAACCCATGTGTTACAAAATCATAATCCTATCTAATCCATTCTAATATTATAAATGCGAAAGTGTGTTTGTTTGTTTGTTTGTTTGTTTGTTGGGCTGGAAAATGACATAGGCTACTTTTTACCGCGAGAGACTATCTCATCTCTAAGAAATCTATACTAAACGTTAAAACGTAGAGACGAACCAAAGCAAAGCGAGGGTGAGTCGCTATTCTATCTATCTTTTTTATTTATCCTCAAGAAACATTAAACCGTTTTTTTATTGATAAAACTCAAGAGTGCTTTTGATTAATTTGTTTTATGGATATTGGTCCCATTTGAAGTAATTTACATATTTTGTATTTAATTTACTAAATTTCTTTATATAATTTAGTGCCATTAGCAATATACAATATGATGAAAAAAAAACTAGACTTACCAAGCTTATTGTTATTTCCATGGGGATGCTGGTGGTGGTGTTGTGGTTGCTGTTGTATTTGCGGCATCAGCGCAGGGTGGGGTAGTTGCAGCAATTTTGGTTCCAATTTGGTTGCGGCCGCAACCGGTATCGGTCCGGCGTTAGTCATGGTTGTCATGGTTGCAGCTGGCATCATTAGCGTAGACATAGTTAACATTTTGATATCCAACCGAAATCTACACCGTCATTATTCGATCGTACAAATCTTTTAAAATATTTTGCAAATATACACTTATTGTTTTTTGTAAATAATCTTATTTAATACATAATATTATTTTCTAGATCACTTTGTTTTGTTTTATCTATAGCTATCAATCTAAACTATAGCGCCTGTAATGGTTATTTCAGTTTTGTCACTTTTGGTTTTGGTTTAGGTTATATTTTATGGTTATTATTTTCTCGGTTGTGGTCGTTTTTTGTTTGGCTTTTATATTGAAAAAAAAAATACTTAAAAGTAAAAAAAAATAATTGATTGGTAGTTTTCATTTACTATATATGTAGATACCTAATCAGATATTTTCGAAGTCGGTGTGCTTTAATTTATATCGGCTATCATTTTAAGTGTAGAAAAGTAATAAGAAAGTATTTTATTTAATAAAATATTCGCTTAAGCCGATTAAGTTAGTTTGATGCCAATTTTTATATGAAGACTGACAAACTAAAATTCTCTTTTATTAGTAGGTAACACTAAAAAATCTGTATCTTAAATCCAATCCTAACGTGTTAGGCTTGTCAAATCAAACAAAATAAGCCCAAACTTAAAATATCTACTATTAGTCGTTGAAGAGTTCCACCTATCCACCTTCTGGCCTTACCATCAGATCAGGTCGACGATACCGAACCACTGTACTATCAACGGAAATAGAAACATTTGCTAAGTTACGAGTAAGTCAATATGACAATTAGAAGTATATAAAATTTTCATTACCTATATTTTCACCCTTAGAGGTGGTATTTTTTAAAGTTTTAATAAAACCAAACTTTAGGAAGCATACACTTTGAAATAAAACAAAAATTGTAAAAATCGGTTAATAAATGATGGAGTTCTGAGGTAACAAACATAAAAAAATGGGTGCCTTTACGCGCGGTTGTAGTAAAACTCCTTGGCAAATATCGCAATAATTAAATAAGGCATATTAGGCATATATTTATCATATGTTTATAGAATATCATATACGGAAAGAATATAATATTATACTATATTTGTCAGACAATAACAACGGTTACCATGGCAACATGGCAATGTATTCTATCTCATTTTCTCGCCGGCTTAATCCTATATATTTATGTGTTTGTCTCTTTTTAGTGTCGCATTTCCGTTTCAAATCACAACGATTCTAAAGAAGTTTGACTTCAAAAATACAGCTGAATTGAGAACCTCCTTTTTGAAGTCGGTTGTATAAATATAAAGGGAATGCTAGATGAGATACTGTTTTAACTGCTGTGCTCGCGGGCATCGTATTTAATTATAAAAATAATTAACTTTCTTTTGATATTATTACAAAGTAATGTATTTCATAATATCAAATATTCATTTAAATTGAGTTGAAATAATAATTTTAAGTAGCCGTTATTTAGCTTATTATATTTTTTAATAAATTCTTAGAATATCCATTAGTCTATAGCCTGTGGCTTCGTATGCGCTAAGCATAATATAAATAACTAGCAGAATCCGCGGCTTCGCTCGCGTTAAATCTATAAAAAATCTTTGGCTTTATGTTTTAACACCCCCGCCGCCCCCGCACGCCCTGCGCCGCCCTCGAGCAATGCGCCTACCACGCCGTGTAGGATTTTCGAATCCCTATTAGACTCTGTTGGGGGATGATTGTGGAAAAACTGTGATACACGTGTCTCATAATTTTAGTTGAAAAGTATGTGTATTAATTTTTGAGTCAATCGACCCAATGAATAAAAAGTTTCACAGAGTTTTTAATTGGTCAAAATCCCGAAATCTTTATCCCTTACCAAAATTATAGGATATAATGTTTTTTTTTGTGAATAACGTGAGAAATGATTTTTCCCAATATAAACTTTCAACCTCTATTTCACCCCATTCAAGTTTCATTTTTGCGACAAAAAGTATCCTATGCCCTTCTGCAAGGTCCCATCCCTCTCTATACCAAACATCATCAAAATTGGTTCAGCGGTTTAGGTGTGAAAACGTAACAGACAAACAGACTTTCGCATTTATAATATTAGTATGGATGATTTAACTATTACACTTAAGTAGTGCAACAAACGCACACAATCATCTATACTTTAAGAGTTAGCAAAGTTTGTTTGTACGCGCTTATCTCAAAAACTACTAATCCGATTTGAAAAATTCTTTTTGCATTAGAAAGCCCGTATATTGAGGAAGGCTATAGGCTATATATCATCCCGGAAAAATGTACGGTTCCCATGGGATATATTTATCTTTATCTAGTCGCTAGTTTATAATATTAGTGTCACATTCAAAGCTTTTATCGCTTTTAAGTCAAATTAATTTTCATTCGTGCGAGAAATCGTGATATGATTATTGAAAAGCCCGAAAATGTAATATAATTTCTGTTTTCAATTAATTAAAAAACCTTTCAGCTATCAATGGTTATGAAATTTCGCATTTAATATTAATTTATGTTGATAGCTTTATAATAAGGAGGTTATATATGACTTTGTCATTCGGATACTTTAATAAAAAAATAAATAGTATAAAAACAAAAAAAAACCCGACTGCATTAGTTTTTGCTAATTAGACCTTTGTGTGCTCATCACACAAATGAATGCCCGTAGCGGGACTCGAACCCGTAACCGCTGGCACAGCTAGTAGAATCACTACAAACTGAGCCAAACGTGTCGTCAATACTTATAGAGATAACATAGCTTCCGAGGTAGTCCAGCTTATAGTCTGTGTACTAAATTTTATCCAAATCTGTCCAGCAGTTTTAACGTAAAGGAGTGACAAACATATACACATACAAAAAATTTCATACATATCTCATAATTTATATATAAAAGTTATCCGATTTTCTGAATAAAATATCGAAGGCTTGAACAAATTCTAACTTTTAAGTTTAATTTTCGTGTTAAAAAGTCATGTTATTATTAAGAATGTGTCGCTTTGCTAACTTTATTCAGGAACAAGCTCGTGCGTTAAATGTGGTGTGAGCAAGGGTTGCTTGTGACCTATTTTATTATTTTTAACCCTTATAAAAGGGGATGATCACATCATAGTGGAATTCTCCTGTAAATATGCCTAACTTTCGTATGTATAATAAAGTTACCACTTTTTGTTATTTTTCTTAATTTGGCTGCAAAATTATTAAATGTTTCATATACATCTACTTAATACTTACTTAATTTCAGCCATATAGCTTCAAATAGTCTCCGAGTAAAATCGCTAAAACATACATACGTGACGAAATTATAAGGATTCTTAGGCCTTTTACTTACGGAACCCTATGAATGGATCTTCTTATTTGTAACATTTAAAAATATTTATAGGAACTAGACTTCCTTTTAGGGTCCCGTGACCAAAAGTCATCGGTCAAGTGCGAGTCGAATTCGCACACGAAGGGTTCGGTACCATCGTACATGTACTTTTTATTAATATGACTTACTCTATGTATGTAGTATATGGTCGGGGACTTAGCGTCTGAAATAGACAGGATAAACCTTGATTTGGCAAGAATCAAAGATTGGGCAAAGTCTTTCGGACTCCTTGTCAATCCAATTAAGTCTCAGGCCATGATCATTGGTAGTAAGCAGTTGCGGAACAAAATCGACTTCAACAATCTGCCTGACATCATCTACGATAACACTTGCATCAATATCTCAGACACGTGTAAAAACTTAGGTTTAACAATCGACTGCAGCCTGTCCTGGGCTGCGCATGTCAACGAGGTCAGTAAGCGCGTACATTATTCACTTCATTCCTTGAAACGTTTACAGAATTTTCTTCCGTTTCAAACTAAAATTACCCTAGCTCAATCACTGCTAATCCCTCTACTCGAATATGCCGACGTTTGCTATCTAGATGCAACCGAGGAGCTACTCGACAAGCTAGATCGCCTTCAGAATTTGTGCATCCGTTTTATATATGGATTGCACAAATTTGATCATATAAGTATTTTCCGACGGCAACTGAAGTGGCTCCCTATTCGTTTTCGCCGAAACGTTCGTGTATTATGTGTGCTTTACAATATTTTGAAGACTTCTACACCTTCTTATTTAAGTGAACGCTTCACATTAGTGTCCCCTAGATGCAGACCAGTGCGTTCTTGTGTCAATTTGCCCAAATTAGTGGTTCCTCACTACAATACTACATTCTATAAAAAATCTTTTTCTGTTACGGCAGCAACTTTGTGGAATTCACTGCCTGATTATATTTTCAAAGATGATCCCTCATTAACTACATTTAAGTTTAGAATTAAACAGTACTATTTATCAAATCAGACATAAATTATTGTAGATTAGTATGTATTTATATGTAAGTATATATGTGTGTATATATATATATATGTATGTGTATATATATATATATTTGTATAATCATAATATTTAGTTAATATATGTATTTTAATATTAAGACAATTCCATGTAATGCTGTACTGTACCTCCACCGCACTATATTAACTTATTTTCTCACTTCTGAAGGGTTTCTGGAAGAAATCTCTTAAAGAGATAAGTTATCCTTTGTCAACATTTTGTTATTTTATTTTGTATAACGTATATTTTATGGTACATAAATAAATAAATAAATATATTGAATTCGATGATCGATTACGAACGGTAAAAGAATGTTTCTTGTATTTATATTTATTTTTATTATTTGTTGTTATAGCGGCAATAGAAATATATACTCTGTGAAAATTTAAATTTTCTATCTATTACGGTTCATGAGATACAGTCCTCTGATAGACTGACTGACGGCGAAGGCTTAGTAATAGGGTTTCGTTGGCACCCTACGGGTACGGAACCCTAAAAACAATCTTTTCGTATTTGGGGAGAGACCTATCCCGTGACCATGGATGCTGTAAAGCATTCGAAACGTCGGGAACCAAAAATCAAAATAAATTCGCGAAATAATTTGAGTTTTATTTAAAACTAGCGACACCCTCGGTTCGTTTGGGTTCGTCCCTAGCTTGCGTCCCAATACAAACTGTCATCCCCATTTTC